CAAACAGCCCAACCTGGTTTATTTATTGCATCTCCTGGCACGTTCTGAGGAATGTGGCCACCCCAGCTGTGGGAATCAAATGAGCAGCAGAGCCACAGTGGGCCTCCTCCATGGGTGGCAGTGAAAAATCATTCTCCTAAAATTCTCAAAGCTAAGAATGGTCTCTGACATATTTACAGGGGGAATCTGGGCTTGACTGAGCATATCGTCATTCATGAAAGGTCCAGAGATGTTTCTTGAGGAAACATTAGCCCTGTCTGATGGCCTTAACTGGAGGTGAGAAACCCTTCTTCTGGGCTAGTCTGGTCCACAAAAATAGCCTTGGTATTTGCATGATGCCATGGAAATAACAAACCCATGATGTCTCATCACCTCCTGGAAGGCAGTACAGAGAAAAGAGTGGTTGGAGAGAAAAGGCCTCCTTGGAGGGCTGGAATAAAAGGAGATTCAGAGGGCTTCCCTGGTGGCGCAGTGGTTGAGAGTCCGCCTGCCGATGCAGGGTACACGGGTTTGTGCCCTGGTCCGGGAAGATCCCGCATGCCGTGGAGTGGCTGGGCCCGTGAGCCACGGCCACTGAGCCTGTGCTCCGCAACAGGAGAGGCCGCAATAGTGAGAGGCCCGCTTACCACAAAAAAAAAAAAAAGGCGATTCAGAGACATGCAAGGGAATGGGGAAAATAAGGCTGGACAAAGAAAACATGGTCTCCTTTCTCATTGAGTTCCTGGTCTGTGAGTCTAGCCAATGGCAAGACCACCTGGTGGGCCTGGAATCTGTGGGGTTCTCCCTGCACTTTGGAGTTGGGGCCTTGGGAAGATGAGCTGGAGCCATAAAGAAACCTGAGTGGGCCCGTTCCATGTGTGGACAGCTACCGTGAGCAGGGTGACGGGCAAGCCTAGCATTCAGAATTTGGCAGCATTGCGGGGATAGCATCTTGCCAACTTTCTGTCATACCCCCTGAATTAAGCTAATTAAGCTAACACTCCGTCTTATGTTAATTAACTCATAATCAGTATAACGCTAAGCCAGGTGTGTTTGCAGTGTATTTGTGTGTGGGAGGAACATTATCTGGCTTAGAGTTTTAGATCTTCATTAGTATGAGCCAAACTAAACAACTTTGTTTGATTACGAAACTCTTCACTTTGTGTGAGCCATGGGGGCGTGGTGGCTGGATTTCAGGGGCTGTATCCAGAATGGAAGCATTTCTGTTTGCAATGGGCAGTAGGAGGTAAGCACCCTTGGCAATCCTAAGTGGATCGGTGGGCAGTGGCCCGGTCTTTTGAAGGCATAGAGTGATCCAGATAACGGTGTAGTGTGTGAATGTGGGGCACCCAAAAGGCCCTCTTAGTCCTGGGACTGCCTTTGAGCTGTATTTAGAGTGACACTGACATACTGCTATGACATTTCTTGATAGGTGTTGAAGTCCTAGTCCCCAATACCGAAAAATTACTGTATTTGGAGTTAGGGCCTTTAAAGAGTTAATTTAAAGTTAAATTAAAATGAAGCCGTTTTGTAAAGCAATTATACTCCAATAAAGATGTTAAAAATTTTAAAAAAAGAAAAAATGACACCGTTAGGGTGGGCCCTAATCACATTTGATGAGTGATGTCCTTATAAAAAGAGATTAGGACACAGAGACACACAGAGGGAAGACAGTGCGAAAACACAGGGAGAAGATGTCCGTCTACAAGCCAAGGAGAGAGGCCTCAGAAGAAACCAACCCTGATGACACCTTAACCTCAGACTTCCAGCCTCCAGAACAGTGAGAAAATAAATTTCTGTTGTTTAAGCCCCTCAGTTTGTGGTATTTTTTTATGGCAGCCCTAGCAAACTAATCAAGATGGTATATTCAACAAGAAAGGCAATGAAACAAGGTCCTGTAAAGTTTTCTGAAATGATTGGGTTGAGTAAGGGTGTTAAAGGATGGAGTTACTGAAAACTGTTATCTTTACCCAATATAAAGATTAAGATAATGACCTTGCTTTTGTTTATTGTTTGTTTTTAGAGAAGGAGGGAGGAAAGATGTAGGTTTGCCAGAACAGTTACAGAGAAAAAAGCCCCCAGCCCCAATCACCCTGGTGGCCTACAGCCTGGGGGCTCCAGCAGGAGGTGACTCGTGCTCTAGGGCTCAGGGGACCATGGTTTGGTTAGAGAGGGCCACCAACCAATGGGTCCTGGCTGCAGGTCACCTCTGAAATAATACAAGGGAGGCATGTATGGGAGTGACGGAGGGTCTGTCTAGGGAAGGAGGCATTTTAGGCTGAGATTGCTTTTAGGATTTCTGACCCTTCCTTCAGATTCCCCTTGGAGTCAACTGAGTCCCCTCAAGCTGGAGCCCTGCAGAAGACCAGGGGGCGCCCTTCACAGAGGCCATGGGTTGTACACAGTGCCCGAGGCCTGGCACCTTTGAGCCAAACCCTTAAACATCATCACAAACCAAAGGCAAAGAGTTTCCACAATGTACTTTTGTGAATATACTATTTGTGTGACCTTGGACAAGTGACAGAATGTCTCTGGGTCTGAGACTTCCCGCAGGAGCAGTTAACTAGCTCTGTTTGGCTCTGAGATAAGATAGAAGCTGACTTCACTGCTGCCTGCAGGTGGTTGATTCTTTTAACTCAGGCCAGGCAGGAGGATTGTGCTGTGAAAGCAGGAGAGGCAGCACTGAGGGCTAAATCAAGAGAAGGTAGACTCCCTGCTGGCCACTCCCCACTCCCCCTGAGCCTTCAGTGCTTCTCCAAAGTCTTGGCCAGGGTTAGAAGAGATGACTTGGGCCTCTAGGCCCTTGTTTCTCGGTGTGGTCCTGGGACCAGCAGCATCACATCACCTGGGAGCTTGCAGAAACACCAAATCTCCGAGCCCACATCAAACTTGTGGCCTCAGAACTGCATTTTGACAAGGTTCTCAGGTGATGTGCATGCCCATCAGAGTTTGAGAAGTGCTACATTTGCAGGGTGGGTACCATTCCAGGTTTAGCTGTCTCTCACTAGTGGTGGGCCTCAGGACTCACCTGTGCTTCCAGCTTTTCAGGTAGCAGGTGTTAACCACCTCCTTACACCTCCATGGCCTTTCATCTTTAGAGCTCCCATCTTTCTCCTCCCCAGGGAGAGTTCCAGTCAGGTTTTTAGTCTCCCTAACAGCTCTGTATTTCAGGGCCAGGCCACCTTCTATTTCCTTCACATCTTCCTGTAGAGCAGTGGAGCTCCATGTGCAATCTCCACATCGAGAGCAGCATTGCTATGGAGTTTGTTAGAAATGTACATTCTCAGGTCCTACCCTGCACTCCAGAATCAGAAACTCTGCAGTGGGGCTCAGCAACCTGTGCTGAACAAGCCTCCAGGAGGTGCCAATGCAGGATATAGTGTGAGAACCCTGAGGGCCTTGTGTCAGTGAGGTTTCACAGAACCAGCATGGCACCATCTAGGAACTTGTGAGAAATGCAGAATCTTGGGCCCCAGTCAGTGCAGATTGGTGAGCACATTCAAATTTGAGGAGCATTGCTCCAAGGCAAGAACAGAGCACCGGCTCTGGAGGAAAGGACAGATGTACCAAGGCAGACGTGAATCTTGTAGACTGGGTGTATGCAGTGGAAGGCGTGGCTTCCTGGAGAACAGGGGTAGGCCTCACAGGAGTGGGGCAAAGGATGGAAATGTAAGCTTAATGCAGGAGGAGCTGAATCCTCCAGTTTTGAAGAGCCAGAGAGGAACTGACCTTTCTCAGGTGGAAATGAACTGTGTAGGTCAGTCATGCTTAGACCAATGCAAGGTCAGGGCCTGAGCCTGGGGAAGCTCAGGTTCTTGCCAGATTAAGGCTCCCACTAGGGTGGGAAGCAGTACAGACCCCAAATCCCTTCCAAAGGCAGGGGACACTTATTTGGCTTTAACCCCAGAGAGAAAGGAAGGGAAACAAAGGTTGACACCTGACACTTCTCTGGAAGAACCCTCTGTGAGGGTTAGACTCAGTTATTTAAAATTGATTTAAAATTTTTTTTAGTAAAAATTCCTTTAGCACAACTCATAGTAGTTGGAAGTAACAGGAAGAAAACATGGTGGCTGAGAAAGATACAGATGTGTATCATTCACTTTGGCCCTCCAAATACCTATGCTTTTAATGATTGAAGCCTTCTCAGTGGGCTATTTTTGAGAAAGTATGATTGGCAGATAATGAATAGTTTGTTTTTAAATAATTAGAAATATGGTCAAAAGGGCTGAATGAAAATAGTCCTAGAAATTTTTGTTAATGATTAACTTGGAGTAATGCTTTTGAGTCTTTGTATATGTCATTTGTTTTAATAGTTTTGTGAATGATGGGGTTTCAAGATGTTTTTATCTTTTCATTTTTAATGCAAAGTTGATCCTCTGTTTAGATATTGAAGGATACTGGCATTTGCTAAGGTATTAATAAATATTATGATTTCAACCACTGTCATTTTTTATGATTATTTCCTGCTGTTGGTAAATTACAGATGCAGAAGAAAACCTCTGTGAAAGAAAACTGAGAGCTGGTACTTCACACTTGTGAAGAAGAAAACATGAAAAATGAGTTGAAACCCTGTGACAAAGAAAAGTGGCCTATTGACCTTACGGTGTTGAATTTCAATCCAAAGAGTGATTGTTACCAGGTCTCACAGTTTATAACCTGAGTTGGTTTTGAGGGCGGGGATGGGCATCAAGTAGATAATTTAGTTTGTTAAGTCTCATCTTAATCAAGAAAATCCTCTATTTCAAAATCCAGAACAGAAAAAAGCTTCCAGAATTCAAGGACTGTTTTCCTCTGCTGCAGAAGTGACTTTGCCAGGTACTTGTGGAAAAAAATGAAAAGGCAGCAGAGAATAGCTGGCATGTGACTGGGAGTAAAGCTGAGGCAGGATCAGGAGTGGGTGTGTGAAACATTGGCCACCACAAGCAGTGAATGCGCCACTTTGCTCAGATTAACCCCCAAAATGAAGCTGCCAACATGGGGTGCACAATGGTGAAGCACAACTGCAAACTTCAAGGAAGATGCTCCTTTTAGCTCCTGTTTAATATTAGTCAGATATTAAACACTTATAAACTTTTAATACAACAAAGCAAGTACATGCAAAGTTACAAATATAGAAAATATAAAGCACATGCGTATTTCAAATACCACTCTGTATTCTTATACAAAACTATTCAGTGCGCATTGTAAGCCTAAGGACCACACAAAAGGGTTTCCTTTAAGTGTTATTAAGTATTTAGTACCTTACAAAAACAGGTAATGCATTAGATAGTTCAGATGTTAATCGCTCTAACCAAAATTTCTAATTTTGTCATATGCAATATATATATATGTATATATATATATATAAATTTTTTTTTTTTTTACATAGGATACCCACAAAGTGCAAGCCAGTAATAACAGTGCAGAATAGTAATGTAAATCTGCTAGGTGACAATATTGAACAACCCAGGGAATAATTTTACCTTACTTAAATAATGGTAACAGAATTGCTTTTTCCACTTTGAATGGATCATATTCCTACCATCTCTAACCTATTTTTCTTTTGGAATGCCTCCCTATTCTTTGATTCAAAAGCCAATTCCAGAAACTAAGGACCTGAATACCGTGTTTTTTATAGCTGCTGTTTCCTCTATGTTAAAATCTCCTGGCTTCATCCAAACAATGTTAAAATCATTCTGCTTTCCAGGTACACAAACAAAAGAGATTTGCTCTCAGTGTCCAGAAGGTAGTTTAATTAAAGTATCTTCATTATCTATAGTTTACATTACTAAAGAAAAGAATACCATATAAAGGTGCTTTAAACATCCAAAATGGGAGGCTGTCTCCGAGGGCACCTCTTCCATATGCTGGAAATTTTTAGTCTCAGAAGCCTTTCATATTATGTTAGTTATGTTCATTCCCTGTGAAAATGTCCTCTGCCCTGAAGTCTAGTGTTGCACGAATATCCATTCTTGATGCAATAGCTGCTGTGTAACCCGTACTGCAAAATGCAAAACATCCTTACAGTTCTCTGCAGACACAGGACACATGCTTTCCACCGGGTTGAGCCTGGGCCCACAAGCTAAGGATTTCTAGTTTTACTTTTTGAATGAATATTATGCAGCCTCCTTCCAGATTTGGCAGAAATGCTGTCTGAACAGGGAAATGCAGTCAGGTTTTCTTAAAACAAATGAGGAAATTGCTGTAAAATCACTGCTAAGATGGGGCATTAGTGTACTGAGCTCTAGCTAGAGAAGGAGCTGGAGGTATTTAGGCAAAGGTATTTGAAGACTGCTTTGAGAATTGTTTTAGCCTCAATCTGTTGCACTAGACAAAAAATAAGCCTAGATCAACCAATGATTATTTGCTGTTACGCTTTTACCAGCTCAGCACTAGCGTTGGCCTATGAAGGATTAAATCAAATGGGGCTTGAATAAATAGCATTTCAGATCTACTTTCCATTTCCCAGTGCTGTAAGTGCTAAGGGTATTAACCTACAGGTGACGAACAGAGAAGCAAGAATGAGACACCACCACTAAAGGGCTGCAGGTAGATACCCCCTCCCCCAACCTGGTGAAGATTAAGATGATGAAAACAGGAAGGCCTTCCTCATCCCACTATGAGGAAAATGAGGAAAGAGATGAGGAGGATCACAGGAGGGGAGGAGAAAAGGATCACACTTGCCCCTCTTTGGTAATAAGCCTCGTATTCTCTCTGGTACTGGGTGATGCACATCTGCTCCACCACACGCTCCATCATCTTGATGTCCGTCTCAGTGAAGTTTTCCCCCTTGGTGGTGGTGGTAGTGACCGTGTGCTGCTTGACTGTGATGTTGACACAGTCATGCACGAAGCTGTTCTGGTTGTTATACTGATCCACTGGCCTGTAGTATACCTGGTTGGGGTAACGGTACATGTTTTCACGATAGTAACGGTCCTCATAGTCACTGCCAAAATGTATAAGAGGCCTGCTCATGGCACTCCCCAGCATGTAGCCACCAAGGCCCCCTACCACCGCCCCAGCTGCAGCAGCTCCTGCCACATGCTTCATGTTGGTTTTTGGCTTACTGGGCTTCCACTGATTATGGGTACCACCACCTTGACCCCAGCCTCCACCACCATGGGGCTGTCCCCAGCCACCACCGTGGGGCTGACCCCAGCCACCACCGTGGGGCTGTCCCCAGCCACCACCGTGGGGCTGACCCCAGCCTCCCCCTCCCTGGGGTGGATAGCGGTTGCCTCCAGGACTGCCCTGTCCTGGGTATCGGCTCCCCCCAGTGTTCCATCCTCCTCCAGGCTTTGGTCGCTTCTTGCAGAAGCCCATGTCACTCCACGTGGCCACAAAGAGAACCAGGATCCAATTGGCTATGTGGCTTTTCACCATGATGACTTATCTGCAAAATAAAGAGGGTGTCAGCATTGTGTGTTTATGTTGAAAACACTTAACGTCTGCAGCATAATGACTGCATAGCAGTGGCATCAGCTATAAATGTTCTTGGTCATATATGTTCTTCACATTCCATGTTTGTTTTGCAACCCTTACAGCAAAAGTAATTGTAGGTAAAGGGTTAACACAGCTCTTTCTCCTTCTCTCAGGACAAATTTGACCTCAAGATAATTTCTGGCTCTGTTTCCTAGAAACTTGATAAAGGTGGAATGCCAGCAACATTGCTTATGATAAAAATAACCTCTGGTTGATACATTGTATCTAAACTGGAAGAAACTATTAACACCTGGTGGGTTTGCCATAGCTTTGAGCTTCTCTGAAGTAGTGATTTGGGCTGTTATGAGGGATATGAGCTCCTGGAACCTCCCGGGACCCTGGCATGGCCCCTATGGAAGTGATTCTAATGTCCAGTTAGGAACACCCCCAGGTAGGTGCTGAAATCATTAAATCATTTTCTAAATAGCTGGCTCACGTCCTCTTTCCTCCCGCAGGAATGTAAGCTGGAAATGTCTCTTTTGTTCACTGCTGTCTCCTCAGGGCCTGGCACAGAGCATATACACAATAGATACCTGTTAAGTGAAGGAATTAATATCCTCTGAACATATAAATGCCAACAAGAATTTCCTCAAAGAAATTCTCAATACAATAAATTTTTGGAAACAGGAAATGTGCAAGATTCTGCAAGCCCACCTATAAATTCATTTTTCTCTCTACAGACAGAAACAAATGGGGCTGTTCAAAATGGGGTAAGGAAGGCTGTGTTCACAAGCTTTGCAGTCACTCACTCACTGAATGAGTCTTAGTTCAGCATTTAATGGTTCGTGAGTGACTTATTTTCTCCTAATTTTTGGTAGAAAAGACACATATCTTATATGAAAGGGCTAGCGTGGCTTAGGAATAAACAAAGTATCCTGCATGATAATTTATGAACCTTTGCAGAATGTACATTCATCAATTAAAAACCTCCTTTCAGATTGAAGACCTCATTCACCCTGGGTGCTTGGTGCCAAGAGCAGAGATTAAAGACATACAGTAGAATGATCATTAGTTTCTACTGTACCCCATGTCAAACCATATGCTCCAAAATACCATGTGCCACAAAACCAAAAATGGCATACGTTGTAATGCTGATAGTAGTCTTATCCCCAGCACTGGGACACCTTCAAATAAAAACGGCATCTAATATTATAAAATTATTTTTCATAACCTTCAGAACTAAAGACTAAATTGGATAATATTCAGAGGAAGACTGATTAAACAAATAAATGAATTAACATCATGTTTGTTTCTACTATCACTATTGAAATGTCTTGGTGTAAATAAAAATATATTTTAAAGTTATAAGCCCAGCTAAACTGCTCAGAATATGCCAATTAGGATTTTTGGAGGCTCTTTTGTGTAAGGTCAGAGGGACAGGGTCCTGGGATATGCTGACTGGCCTCAATCTCGCATCCACATCTCCTGGCACTCAGTCTTCTGCAGGTCTGCTTCCCTGATCTATTTTCCATTTGCTAATGGGGCTCAGCTCTTGGCTTCCAGGCTGCTCACAATTCTGCTCAAACACCTCAGGGAATTCTGGAAAGCTTGGTGTTTGACGTGGAAGATGAAAGACTGGAAGAATCGAGGTGGCACCCAGATTTCTGGATTGGGCAATTGTGTGGACAGAACACGGAAGGTGGAGCAAGTCTGGAGGGAGACAAATGTGGTGTGTGGCTTTGGCAATGCCATTATCAAGCTACAATGCCATTATCAAGCTGCCTACTGGGACAAGAGATACCAGTAGGCAGTTAGCTTGGTGAGTCTGGAGCTGAAGAATGACCATGGACTGGAGATACAGGTAATAGGGCATAAGGGCCACGGGCATATGTTGCTGATCAGTACTTTAAAACTGAATATTAAAGTTGGATGATCATAAACTATATTAAGACAAGATCATTTTAAAATCAGTTGAGAACAACAATAGCAACATTTAATTATAAAAAGCATAAAAATTAACAACTACATTTTGAAGCAGAGAATCATTTCTAAGGATAAGGACTCAAAACTTAATGAGACCTTGGAGAATCTTTCTGTTTGCGATAAAATAAGGAAGATCTTATATTATTTAATCCAAACTTCTCACTCTACAAATTAGCCACCAAGATTCAGAAAAGTCAAGTGACATATCTGTGATTACAGTGTTAATTAGTGAAATTGCTAGGAATAGAGACTAGGTTTCTGAATGTCTGGCTGTGCTACGACACTTCATATAAGATGCTCTCAGAGAACAGTCAGGTTGTGGCCTAACACTCTGGCACATTTCAAGACACTAAGTATTTGACAACAGTCAATACCTATTTATCACTAAGAAAAATACTCTTAGTAGACTAGGAATAGGAGGTAACTTCCTTAACTTAATAAAGATTATATAACTAAAACAGCAAACACAATAAGTAAGTTTTGAATGTAGTCCCTTTAAGATCAGAAACAAGACAAGGATGTACACTGCCACAGGACTGGAAGTCCTTCCAATGCCATATGCAAAGACAAAGAAGTAACTGGTGCAAGAACTCCAAGGAAAGAGCTCCAGCTGACATTATGTGGAACTAATGTGATCATAAACATAGAAAATTCAACAGACTCAACAGAGGTAACACGAGACAACTAGAGGGATAGGTTGTGGGATACAAGATTGGCCTACAAAAATCAGCATTTCTCTATACCAGCAATAATCAACTAGAAAAAAATTAATAAGATAGTAATAATTTCAACCCAAACTATAAAGTATCTAGGATTGACTTAAGACTGGGGAAAGAAAAATTGAACATTAGTAAAGAACAAAGAAGATGATCTGTAAACATGGAAAGGTTTTGGTTGGAACAACTTAGTACTATAAAGATATCAATTACCCCCAAATGAACTTATAATAATAAAATGACAATCAAAATTCCACCTGGATTTTTTGAGGAATTCAATAAACCCACAAGAGGTAAGAAATGTCCACAGGTAGCAAACTCAACCTTAAGAAGAGAAAAAAGGAGAGAATCTACTGTTATCAGACATTAAATCCTATTACAAAGTCATAGTAATAAATATGTAATAAATAGGGTAACAGTCTAGAAACGGACCTACAGATCAAAGGAAGGAGAATAGCAAGTTCAGATATAAACCCATGTATATATTCTTTAGTACAAACCTGATAAATGATAAATCGGACACCACAAATCAATGGAGAAAGAAACATTTGTTTAGCAGATGCTTCTGGGAAACTAGAGGAAAATAAAACTAGGACCCTAACACCACATGCAAAAGCAGACTCTAGAGACCTAACTCTGAAAAGTAAAAGTTTTATGAATTAAAAATCTTTGTGGGATGGATTGCCTTCCTATTAAATTATAAAAACAGATGTTAGAATCAATGCATTTAACAAATATTTATGGAACAGCTAGTACGTGCCAGTTTTTAAAGAAATAGAAAACTTGACGATAAACCATAGGAGAAATGGAGAAAAAAGTTACTGTACAATAGCCATTGATTAGTTTAACAAATATTTGTTGTCTTCTAAGGGTCTAGCATTGTGCTGTGGCTGAGGACACAGTGGTGAGTAAGATGTTTAGTTTGTGGGTTCAAGCACTAAGGAAGATAGGTATCTGGAACCTGAAAGACAGTGGGAAGCCATTAAAGGGTCTTAGGAGAATAACATCACAGGATCTTTTTCTTTTTTTTAAGAAAGTTCACCCTGTTGTGTAAGTAGAAAATTTGGGGGGCAAGAAAGGAAATGGTGAGACCACTTATAAAACGATTGAAGGAAGATGGTGGTGTGGCCTGGGACTGTGCCAATGCAGTTGAGGAGCTGTGAAAAAATGGGATGTATTTTGCAGAAAGAACCAATTAAGCAGATAGAGTGGATGGAGAAGTGAGAGTTGATCAGGTTTGTGGCTTTCATAGCCAGGCTGATGGTGGTGATGCCATCTATTGAAACAGAGGAAACTGATGGAGGGCCATGCTTTTGAGAGAAAATAAAGTTTTAGTTTGGACATACTAACTTTGCTACATCTATGAGCCATTCAAGTGGGAGTATCAATTCAGGCAATTGTTATAAGAATCTGGAACTCAGCAGAGATAAACACTTGGGCAGCTTCACCTGAGAAGTGCTGTTAATAGCCAAGGGAATAAAGGATCGAGATTCAAACTCCAGTATTCTGAGCGAAGGGCTCACACTCTTAGCTATCCAACCTCCAGCAACATGGGTGCCAAAAACCAAAAGAAAATACCACCAAGCTGATTTTGACAGTTTAGTAAAAGAAGAATACACTGTGACCAATAAGGATTATTTAGGAATACAAGGATGGCTTAAAATCACAAAATCAAGTAACCTATTAGTAGGTTAAGGAAAAAAACACAAAGATGCTCTGATGTTGAAAGTTTTCAATTAAAATCTACATACATTCCTGATTTTTTAAGGTTAAGCTGTTGAAAAAATTTCCATAGAACTAGAAAGTAATCCCTTTCCATCATCAAGAACAGCCATCACAGACACACAGCCCACACCCTACCTTAACTGAAAGAGGAAAGGCATTCTCCTTAATATAATAAACAAGACAAGAATGCAAGCAATTGCTGCTATTTTAGACTGTTATGGAGGTTCTAGCCAGGTATGATTTTCTTTTTCTTTTTTTTTTTTTTTGCCGTACGCGGGCCTCTCACTGTTGTGGCCTCTCCCGTTGCGGAGCACAGGCTCCGGACGCGCAGGCTCTGCGGCCATGGCTCACGGGCCCAGCCGCTCCGCGGCATGTGGGATCTTCCCGGACCGGGGCACGATCTCGTGTCCCCTGCATCGGCAGGCGGACTCTCAACCACTGCGCCACCAGGGAAGCCCTTTTCTTTTTTTTTTTAAATTTATTTATTTTATTTTTGGTTGCGTTGGGTCTTTGTTCTGTGTGCGGGCTTTCTCTAGTTGTAGCAAGCAGGGGCTATTCTTCGTTGCGGTGTGTGGGCTTCTCATTGCGGTGGCTTCTCTTGCTGCGGCGCACGGGCTCTAGGTGTGCAGGCTTCAGTAGCTGTGGCACACGGGCTTCAGTAGTTGTGGCTTGCAGGTTCTAGAGCTCAGGCTCAGTAGTTGTGGTGCACGGGCTTAGCTGCTCCGCGGCATGTGGGAGCTTCCTGGACCAGGGCTCGAACCCGTGTCCCCTGCACTGGCAGGCAGATTCTTAACCACTGCACCACCAGGGAAGTCCCAGGTATGATTTTCTATCTGGAAAATCCAGGAAAATCATCCAAAATTGTGTCCTAGAATAAATAAGTGAGCTTATTAAGGTGGCAGCTTTTGAAATCAACATATAGAAGAGTGAATACTCAAATCAGTTGTAATTATTTAGAAGATTTAGTGTGGAAAAAAAATCCCACTCATAGTGGCAACAAAATATTCAAAATATCTAAGATTTAACCTAAAAATAAATAGACCTTTTAGGAAGAAAGCTGGAAGACTGGAAAAAAAGAGAAAGAGAAAGACAGATTATCTGGAGAAAGACAGATAATGTTTTTGGTTGGGAAAATCAAGACTGAAAGATACCAATTCACCTCCAAATAATCATAAAGTCAACACAATTTCAGTCCTAATTTAAAGAGGATTTTAAGGAATATGATGAAATGATACTCAAAATTAAGAAGACTAAAGAAATTATTTAACAGGAAGAAAATCTAGGGTATACTTGGCCTGCCAGGTACCAGAATGCATTGCAAAACTAAAATAAATAAGATCATGTGGCATTAGTGCATGAGCCGAATGGCAGAGCGATGGAACTAGAGAGAAGGAACAAAAAAAAGATCCATATATTATGCCATTCATCCTATTCCCATGGGGAATACATGGGACTAAGAGCCAGGAGGAACTTGTCCAGTGGTCATGTGCCAGGGGCCAAACTTCTGATACTTAAAACATGTTACACCCTTGACACTTAATTGGTTAAATTGGGAACTGGCACACCAAATAGTCCCCCTACCCCCGACTGCCCCGGAAAAATTTCCTGTCTTTCCTGAGCTAAGTGGAACTCATGTGTCATATTTTTATCTTTTGAGGTCATTGCCCCTTAAAGAGCCTAATGCAAGCTACTCAAAATTTTACAAACCGCTCTGGGGTGGGGGTTTTTCACTGGCACTGAGGCCTAGCCCTGGACTGAATAGGGCAAAGGGCCTGAACCTGATCCATCCTCAGAATTATGTGAACAGCTTGAAAAAAAAGCAACATTGCTAGAGCCTACCCTATACCCCAGGAGAATATGGTTAGAAGAAAAAGGATGAACAAACAGAAAATTCTCCCAAATGTAAGAATTACTACACATGCTATTCACTCAAGGATTATTTTGCTGCAGCCATCACAGCTTTAGATACAGGCATGTTTTGAATGTTTCACATGCAGCAGTTCACAACTGATAAAGCTGGCTGCCTTGGAAGAGGAAATAAGATCCGAAAAGAGAGACTGGAATAGATAAATTAAAACTACAGCTTGGAAAAACTGTCATCTCATAAAACCTTTTGTTAATTTAGTGCAGAAATGTTTGTAATGTTACTGCTTTTATTATACTATTTTTAAAATGGTTGCTTCCTTACATAACTCAGAATGATTCTAGAGAAAGCCCTTTCCCTGCAAAATCAAGATGATTTTACAAGAAAGGATGGTATAATAGGTGTGGGTTACATATATAGATCCAAGTTGCCTCCAGAGCAAGGATTTGTGACCACAGCCTTTCGAGGACCTTATCTTCTGTGACAGTTGGGAACTTTCAACCATCACAAGACCAAAGGGATTCCACAGGGTACGTACATCTGCTTTGGCTCAGCTAAGTTGGATTTGTGTCCCTGGGAAGACAGAATGCTTCGGCTTGGCTGAAACTGTTCAGTTTTCAAATATATTCAGGAGTCCCTAAAAAAAAAAAAAAAAAACAGAAAAGAAAAAACTAGAATTGATAAATAAATCTAAGAACTGATTCTTTAAATGAAAAACCCAATATATAAATTACTAAACCACTTATATATCTACTCAAGGAAAAAAACAAGATAATATTTGAAAAAAAGAAATGAGGTCAGCTCAAAAAAGCAGCAGCAAACATGACATTGAGCTCTCCCTCTCCCACACACAGAAAGCTGTGGGTCCATTTCCTTAAAAAAATTAACTATGAACTATTTTAAAGATGTTATTTAGAAAAGCAATATATCAACAAGAAAATTAAAATAACCTGTATTTCTATTAAAACTTCATTTTTATTCAGATTTTTCACATATACATTAATAAACTGCATCTGAGTAAGTAGATGCAGTTTAGTAATCTGCACTTTGACTTGTCAGTTTTTTCCAATATATCGCAGACAGGCTCCAAAATCATGACTTGATGGTACACAATGTTCCTTGCAGTTAATGTGTCATGATTTTCTTAGCTGCTGCCCTGCTGTTATACACTTAGGTTGCTTCTCCGTTGGGTTTAATTTTAGATCATTCTGAATGTGTGTGCATATGGCTTTTTTTTTCCCTTTCCTGTTGTTTCTTCCATTGCAAGTAAATTCCCAGGAGTGGGGTTTCTGGGTCTTGGCTTAAATGCATCACCAGATTGCTTTTCACAAATTTCACACAGATTCACTATGTCCCCAGTGCAGTGTGACTAGGAAAAGAATAAAGGTATACATACCAAAGGTCAGTTTTACACAAACAGTTAATCTTGGCAAACTCCTGAAATAGGTATAATTTCCTCTAGCGTATGAATGGACAAAAGGAGGATGAGGAAATTAGGTAACTGGTCCCAAGCTGTGAAATGATTAGTTGCAGAGCCATCTTTCTAACCCCAAAGCCCTGTCACCTCCCAGGATAACTGAATATGCAAATTTCTAGGCAACCTTCCAGCAGTGGTTGCTGTTACTGTTGTTTTTGCTAATAACTGCAAAATGATAATCCAGACTTACTTTAATTTGCATTGTATTCTATACACGATTCATCATTTCACCATTTATCTTTTATAATCTCGATATTCTTTCACAAGTATGAAAAATTTGTGTCAGATAAAAACCATATACAAATCACATCCTAGCTCTGCTTTCTTTCCCTTTCTGTTTAGTCCTTTTTCATTGTAAGAGCTCCTCAGTGTTTGGGTAGGTAAAATTGTTCCTTTTCATTGGTGATATTTTTTTTTCTTCTTCAAATCTGAGACAGCTGTTGATTTTTCCAGAGATCTGACATTTTTATTCAATTTTCTGTTCCTATTTTTTCTGATAATTTGATTTGTGAAAATCTTTAATTCTATTCTACCTGGATTTTTTTTGCAAGGAAAAGGGAAACAATTCAAATGTTCAGCATGCTGGGAACTGCTTATTAAACCGTGACTGATCTAAGCACAGGAAAATAACTCGGCCATGAGATGAGGATAATCATTATCAGCGAGGTGAAACTGCATTGTGTTGTGTACGAACTGGAGAAGAGGAAACTGCAAAACAGAAGGCAGTGGCTTTGAGATGGTGAGGGTGGATGTGATGGTGGTGGGCTTATGATTTCAAAAAATCTATTTGCCACTGCTGATACAAATAGAAAAGGACAAAAACGAAAATGGACTGCAAAAATGGACTTCTTCCCGTTGTTCAATAATCAAACGTGAAGGTGCCACCCATACTAGCGGAGGAATGTGGTTCTCCGAGGGGCGCTGCCCGGCCCTGATCCCCGCTCTCGGAGTCCCCCCGACGGCCGAGTTCTCTCCTTCCACCGGGACAGTCGAGACGGCGAAAAGCAAAGCCTGTGAGTCCACCACACATGAGCTCGCAGGAGACACTCTGCCGCCTGCCCCTGGACGTCTCAGGCCCGGGAGCGAGGGGTCTTGGGGTCGCCCCAAGACTCCGCCCGCCGAGGCCGGAAGCCCAGCTCACGCCAGCCTGTGCCGGTCCCCGGGGGTGCCAGAGACCCGCCCGCTGCTGCGTCCCAGGCACCGCCCGGCCGCGTGATGGCAGGCGGGGCCCCCTCTGGGGAGGAGGTCGGCGGCGGCGGCTGGGGAGGCTCCCAGACGCCCCGGGACTCCTCCCTAACGAGGCCCTGGACTCGGGTGGTCGGCCGCGTCCCCTCTGGGTATCGGGAGGGCCCAGACCCGCGCCTCTCCTTGGTCCTCCTCGCTGAGCGCCCCAGCGGAGCCCCTTTGCGGCCCTCGTTGGGTTCCGCGCGCCCATTCCCCGGACCTGTGGCCCCCTTGCCGGCGCTACTCGCCCATCCCACTCCCGCCGTGGACTTGCCTGGGAGGGGGTCAGACTCCTCGACACTACCCCCAACCCTCCAGAGGGGCCCCGGCCAGCCGCGGCCCCCGCCCCCATTCCGAGTAAATGGAGCTCGCCTAACCAGGAGGGCAAAACCAAGCCACGGCGTCCGACAACCAACGAGCTCGCTGGGTAGGCCTGACACGTTGCGCGCCCTCCGGAAGCTCCCCGCCCTCCTCACTGTCAAGGTCGGCCTCCCGCCCGGACCCGGCCGTGCGCCCTCGCGCCTCGGCCCCAAGGCAGGGGTTCTGACTGCCGGCCTCTGCGCC